ATAATGACTGATAAAACACTTGATCAGGGGTATTCCTATTGGGAGCCCAAACCAATTCGTAAGGGCTTGCTGCAACTCCTTCTGCTTCTGGCCCTCCAGAATAAATAGTCTCGGTTGTGTTCCTCAATGTTGCATTTCCGCCTAGACAATCAGAAGTAACATACAAAGAAACATTATGCCCTGTCTGCACCGAGAACTTCACTGGAACCCCTCTTTCCACTCTCAAAACTGGAGCTTCCTCTTATTAATATACAAAACCTTAGATGGATTTGGTGGATTCGGATAATGCAAAGCCTCCCCTGTCGTAACAACTAATGTCACATTTGCATCGGAGATAATCAATCTTGATCCTCCTTATCATCGGCATCCAATGGCCCAAAACAATCATCCACATTCTCTGAAACATTAAGCACCAAATGTCCATATGCAACCGTCTTCGGGCCCCCATGATTTTGAGGCAAAAATGAGGCATGACAGTATCAGGAGGTTTGATCAACCCTAATGCCCAAATAACCGCCATTTCCGCCGTAGGATTCACAGGCAAGTCATATTTATTATCATCCGATATCAATGGTTTCCTAAACCTAATAAAGGAAACCCCATCTCTCCTATGTCCATAAACCAACCTAGTATTATTTAATTCCATGTCATTTGTGGAGTTCTCATAAACTACATCAGGACAAACACCTATTGCTGAACCCTCTTTACCATGCAACATGCATTCACTATAACTCGTAATGTAAAAGTCATCAACAAAGGGTCTACCTTCCTCCGTAAAAGCCGTCACTGAGACGTCGGATCCTAACATCAGCTCCTTAGTTGCATTCGGATTCGCCCACCCAAACGCCATGTAATTCGTAGTCTTGGTAACCGCTTCTAAACCGATCTCGATCCAATTATCATCCACATTCAAACTCCACCGAACCCTATAACTACCAGACAAATTCTTGCAGTTATCGAACATTGTATTGACCCGGCTCGGATCTGAATCCGACACGTTCATGGGGAGAGTGACGTGGCCCAAGTCCGAGAAGGTAGTGACGTCCCAAACGGAGAGAACCTTGATCTGGTCCCAGGTGACGTTGGGGAGTAATTGGACCAAAAACGATGCGTTTCTGTAAGTTGTTTGGTTAAACCGTTGATCGGATATCGGGAACCCAAGTGTGATGTTAGAGAAATCAACGGAGACGGCGCCCCAGAAAACGACGTCGGACAAACCGGGTAACATGTCAAATCTGGTGACGTGGAAAGAGCAATCGTCGAGGATTTTGAGATGGCCTCGCAGTTGATGCTGGACCATCGTGAAATTCGATTCGAACCCGATTACGTGGTTCGTGTGGGAGCATTTCCGACCCGAATCCGCATTGCAGAAGAGGAGGAATGAGTTAATAAGAAAGAATAGGAGTAGAAGGGATGATTTGGAATTGTACATTCGGATTGGATTGCAAGTGATTTAAAATAATCTAAATTATGATTAACGAAAATCAAATATCTCCGAGAAACCGTGAAAAAAAAGGGGGAGAGAGTTATACGGCGGTGGTGGCTCAGTGGAGACGCAGGTCGGCGACTCGTTGTTTTATTGAATTTTATTGCTTGGTTTGTTTTATTTTTCTCTCTTTTTCCCGGGTTTTTTCCCCTTGATCGGAGGGTGGCAAATGGCAATTTCGTGATTTTAAGGAAAATTAAGCCGAAGATCCTGAATGTTAAAGCGGAAGCCCATTATTTGCATTTGAAATTTGGTTAACTACATTATTGATCACCAAATTATACCATTTCTTTTTTAATCACCAAACTTTTTGACAAAATTTTCACTGACATTGCTTTTTTCTATTTAATCATTCCTCTTTAAAATAATTAATGACAATGTTGACGTGGTCTTTTCAAGATTAATATTAATATATATGTGTCTTCTTTATCTAATTAACCTATTGCTTAAATCTTAAATTATCTCTTTACTTTTTTTACTCATTTTAATATTTTTAATAATTAAATTTGTTCATGGTCTCCATCAACTTATGTACTATATTTTATTCTGATTTGTTTATCTGACCAATTAATAAATTTATAAGTTGTTTAAATATTGAGAATTGTAAATATGGTAATTTGAGGTATCAATTTTCAAAATGTAGTAGTTCGATATTGACATACAATAGTTCAGAAGGCCTAATTAACATTAATATTAGACGTTAGATTTTTATAATTAGAAGGTTGATATTAATGTCTTTAAAGAAATTCCGATATCAACATATCTACCATCACTAAGATATTAGCGATTTTAACCCATTATGATAATAAGTATTGTTTATTACTATCGGTAATTATGAACTAATTTTTGTCTTTGATAATTGATGATCGAGTAAATATTTGATGATTCTGATTTAATTTTTTTTTTGATAAGTCAGAATTTTATTATCCAAATAGCAAAAGCTACAAATACAATCAGGGTTCAATACAAAACATTTACAATACAAAAATCAGTGGTCATCAATACCCAATGTTGGTAGAGGGTAAGATTCACATTATCTACTCTATTTAATTTCCTGTCATTAAGTTGAAGACAAACAATAGATTTGATATTCTTTAGAAGTTCATTAACAGGACTAGTTCGGCCTTGGTACAGTCTTCTGTTCCTTTCTTCCCAGAGCAAGTAAACCAATGCATTCAAAGCAATCTTCATTACAGTAGATAACAATGATTTTCCTTTCCAATTTGAGCTTGCCATTTCCAAGAATTCTTCCCAAAGGTAGCTTGTAAAATGCAAACCAGAAAAAGAGAAGATGTGTTCCCATAGAGAAACAACAGTAGGGCATAATAAGAAAAGGTGATCCCTAGTTTCCACATCAGAGTTACATAAAAGACAAGAGCAGTCATTAGTAAGACCGATTCGGTGGAGACGATCCTTAGTGGGTAGTCTGTCAAGTAGAGCCATCCAGGTTATCATACTATGTTTTGGAATGTGCAGGGAAAACCAAACGAGTTTATGCCAAGGGACCTTTTAATTTTTCGACCGAATGGAGCCCCATATCGAGCTTGCATTGATAGGACCCGGATGAAGGAAATTTTACACCTCTGGTCTCAATTTAAGAAGTCTTCTGAGACACCAGCTTGTGTTGGGCTTAGTTTCAATTGACCAAAAATATTTGTTCTTAAAAACATAGTTGTGAAGCCAAACTACCCAAAGTGAGCCTTCAGGCTAACATGCAAGCTTTATTCCAGGTCTTAATGTCTTTGATCCCAAGACCACCTTCCGATTTCAAGGAGCAAATTTTGCTCCAACTCACACGTGCTCCTGTTGCTGATTTGTAAGAACCTTTCCAAAAGAAGCGGGAACAAAGCTGCTCAATTTTTTTCAAGATTGAGTTAGGCAGGAAGAGTTGTCTGCACCAAAAATTGGTAATTGAAGCTAGCACAGTTCGGATGAGCTCCAGTCTCCCAGCGTAGCTGAGCAGTTTACTAGACCAATGGTGCAATCTAGATTTGATATTATCGATGAGGATCGCACAGTCTTCTGATTTAATTTTGATTTATATTAAGTCTAGTATTAACTAAATCGAGTTAAAAATGTTACGAGAAAAATTCAAAATTTATATCGAATAAGACAACATCATAAATGACAAACATATTTTTAGTGATGGAAAATAGAATTTTATAACCTTTTAAAATTATTTATACTAATTTTATTGATTAACGTGTTGAGATTTTATAAATATAAATGTGTAAATAAAATACAAGTATAAGATTTGATTTTTAAAATGTTTATAACTTGTTATGTGTTTATTAAAAATTTATGATTTATAAAAAAATTAAAATTTTAAAAAATATTTTTTTTTTATAAATTTAAGGATAAATTATAAATTTTTATATATTTAAAAGATATTTTCAAAAGTACTGCTTAAAAATAAAAAAAATAAAAAAAACAAAAAGGTACAATTGAGAGATTAACCAAGATATATTATTCATTAATTTAATATGTGTGTCATTCATTTAATAACAATTAATAATAGTTAACAGTATGATGTTTATTTTATAATAAAATTTAAATTTAATATTCATTTTAAAACTTTTAAAACTTTATTGCTTAAAAAATAATTAGAGATAGTTTAGTTATCATTTTTTAACTTTACCCAATTAAATAAGGAAATTGTTGATCTTAAGATTCCTACTTGATTCATGAGATTATGAGTTGCGGTTCGCTTGCTCTTGTCTGCTCTTTTGCCACATCGGTCTAGAGGAAATTGGGGATCCTTGTCGCCGCTATTTTTCTTTTACACTGCTATTTGCAGCCGTGGTCCGCCGCTATTAATCTGAAACTCGTTTATACCGCTACAGCGGAATAGCGGATGCGACACTACTACGCGTACGAGTGATGGTACACCCACACGGCGGTGGTTTTTCTTTTTTGTTGGTTTAGGAGGGAAGCTTGTTCACCCATCCACAAAGAAGAGAGCTAGTGGGCTTAAATGCTCCGTTACTTGAAAAATAATTCAAGGAGTATGTTACCCTTTTTCTAAGAAAAATGTTTTCGGTGGAATTTTATTGAATGTTAAATTTGAAGTATGTTTCCTTGTTACTATGGTTTTAGGGAGTGAAGATTTGATTACTCGAGTTTCTTATTTGTTGGTTTTTGGAGTTTCTGTAAACATTTTATCTTGAGATCAGTGTTTAGGCTAATTTGGTCTTTGTTGTTTTAATGCATTTCATTGGTTTTGATCTTTGGTTTTTGAAGTTCCTATAAATGTTCTTAATTTTTCTGAAACTGTTTGTACAAATGATTGATGCTTGTGTGAAAGAGTTTTCTTCCTAATAGCATATGGTAATTCTAGAACTAAAGCTGAAAATTGGTTGCTTTCGTCGGTTTGATGTTTCAGAATCATCATTTTAGGGTTTACTGTTAATTTAACGTTTCCTTGTTTATCTATATATATTGACATTTGTATGAATGTTGCTATTAACCACTTTTATTGTTTTCTGATATGATATAGCAAGTACTGAATGAATAAGAGTCAGATGCAAAAGTCGGAGTAGAACGATTTCTTAATTTTTCACTTGACACACAAGTTGAAGATGATATGAAATTATTGTCCATGTTTCAGGTATGCTAACATTGATCGGTTCATCTGTGAAGTGCTTGATTCAATTTCAAAGAAAATGCATGTTTCGGAGGTTGAAGCAGTGGATGTGATTGCATCTCCGTGACAGTTGCAGGTCAATGGCTTTGTTCAGTAGAAAACTTCAATACTTTTTAGTTCCCACATCTATCAACAACGCTGCTTCCGTTGCAGTAAAGAAGTCCATCATTATCCCCTCTCAGTTGGTCATGCAATCGAGCAAAGACTCAATTGTCAATTTTATCTCCGACATATTCAAGGAAACCCATAACTGGGATACTCTCACTAGAACTTTATCTTCTCTGCAATTAACCCACTCCATTGTTCAACAAGTACTTCTCCAACTCCAGCTGCCTGATCATGCAAGATCTGCTTTGAACTTCTTTCACTGGTCAGCAAAGACCCAAAATTTCCAACACCGGATTTACTCTTATTGCATTGCAGTTCATATTTTGGTTCGTGCCCAACAATTAGCCGATGCTAAAGTATTGCTCCACTCAGCTTTGAAAACAAGTGTAGCCGGGTCAACTAGATACTGCATGGTGGAATCTTTACTAGTTAGTTACAAAGTTGTTGATTCGAGTCCTTTGGTGTTCGACTTGTTGGTTCAAGCTTATGCAAAGTTGAGAATGTTTGAGGATGGTTTTGAGGTTTGTTGCTGCTTGGAGAACAGGATTTTGTCTGAACTTGTCAAGTTTTAATGCCTTGCTTCATGGGATGCAAAAATCTGGTGAAAATGCAATGGTTTGGAAGGTTTACGAGCATATGATTCGCAAAAGGAAATACCCGAATGAAATCACAGTAAGGATAATGATTAGTGCTTTGTGTAAAGAAGGGAAGTTGCAAACTGTGGTAGAATTGTTGGATAGAATTCATGGTAAGAGATGCTCTCCAATAGTTATTGTTAATTCGAATTTGGTGTTTAAGGTTATAGAAGAAGGTAGAATTGAGGAGGGTATGGAATTATTAAAGAGCATGTTGCAAAAGAACTTGATTCTCGATACCATTGCTTCCTCTTTAGTTGTTTATACAAAATTGAAGCTTGGGAATTTGGAGTCAGCATGGGAGGTGTATGACGAGATGCTTAAGAGAGGCTTCAGTGCCAACACTTTTCTCTTTTCATCGTTCATTAAAGCATATTGCGACAGGGGCAATATTCAAGAAGCAGAAAGCATGTTGCAAGAGATGAAAAATATGGGTTTGAAGCCATATGATGAAACTTTTAACCATTTGATCGTGGGATGTTATAAAGCTGGAGAATTCAAAGCCGGTGTGGAGCACTTTGAGGAAATGATTAGTAGAGGACTCGTTCCAAGTCGTTCCTCATTCAATGAAATGGTGAGAGGGCTTTGCGAAAATGGGGATTCAGAGAAAGCTAACGGGTTCTTAACCGTTGTGCTAGATAAAGGATTTACACCTGACCAAGTCACATATCTTCATCTTATGTCTGGTTATGAAAAACAGGGGAAGATGCAACAAGTTCTCAAGTTATACTTCGAAATGGAGTATAGATCACTATCTCCTGGATTAGCGATTTTTTCAACGTTGATTACAGGTCTTTGTAACTGTGGAAGGCTAGAGGAAGCTGAGAAGTATTTAAGAATAATGGAAGATCGTTGTATAGGATCGAGTGAAGACATATGAAACTTTAATAACAGGTCACCTCAAAATGGTGACAAAACAAAGGCTGGCCTCCTTCAGAATGAGATGGCTGCAAGAAGGATTGAAGTAGCTTAACATTATTTTAATTTTACTTTAGCATTTTTAGCACAAGCAGCATTCATTTCTCTCTTTGTTTGATGTATATTTGCAAGAAACCAATGCAGTTTGATTTAGAATTACTCTCTGAGAGTGAAGGAGATTTAACAAGCAAAATGAGGAACGAAAGGAGTCCTTGAATTCATAGTAGTGTACAAAAAAAAAACTTTGATGAGTGGAACTGTACATAAACTAATGAGATATCTAACTTGAAACTTGTCTGGATGTTATGGTGCTTCGCTTCACTTCACTTATCCTATCAGCGTTAATTTAATCCTGTAATTAGAAGTTTCACTTAATTCTTTATATGTTTAGGGCTACAAATTTCTAAAGGTAATACGATATATATAATAATTATTAACATGCAATCATCGCGGGGATAGCTCAGTTGGGAGAGCGTCAGACTGAAGATCTGAAGGTCGCGTGTTCGATCCACGCTCACCGCAATTTTTCTTTTATTTGTTTTCTTTTCTTGACAAATCCAAACCGTCGCCAGAAGTAAATATCTCAACCGTCGAAATGGCTTTCTGTTTTAAGTCTAATTTTTTTTATCAAATATCCCTTAAAACCTGGACCGTCCAAATGGGAAAACTTTAATGCCTTGAAATCTGGACCGTTTAAATGGAAAAACCTGAATAAGATACGACACTCGAATCAAGATTCAAGCAAACTTCAGCAAAATTTCAAAGAACCAAAAAGAATTGCATTTAAGCTGAAGATGGTATATTGTGGATGCTTGGAATTTGAACATCAACAAATTCAACTTAATTATTTTTAATTAAATTTGAGTTTTTAATCTATATCTGAATCAAATGATTCTTGACCTTAAATTAAAAAAATATTTATTTAGACTAATATATAAAAGAAAATATTTAATAAAAGGTAAACCCATTAAGACGTTAGGTTCCAAATGTAGTATTTTTCATTTTTATTATTTTAATAAATTTCATTGTTTCAACATTCAATATTATATCAATTTTTTGAATTCTAAAATTTATATATAAAAAAAGAAAATTTATTTTAAATCAAATACAAATTTTAATATTAATTATAATTAAAATAATACCCTTTTATCATTATACTATATTTTTTAACTAACTTGAGTTTAGAATATTTTTATTTTTATTAATCTTAGAATAAATATAAGGTACTATTTATTCAAAGATAACTCTAAACCCTTTGACATTAGGCTTATACGTCTGACATTCATCGGGTATTGAGTTTAGATTTTAACAATCATTTTTTTCTTTAATATATTTCTTACTTCACTTGTGTTGTATCTTAATTTTTAATCTATTGCTAATCAATTTTGAACATTTTACTTAATTTTTTTATTATATATTTTTATATTTTTGCTAATATATTTCTTACAATAAACACAAGTAAAAACACACACTACGGCAAAATTATTCTACAGCGGTGTTTGATGTAGATATCTCTTGTCAATTTTGAATTTTGCTAACGCACAAAAAAAAACGTGATTTTTCTTTTAAAAAATTCGACCCGATTGGCATTTGATGTAGATATTTCATAAGACGACTCGATTAAAAATAATTTTCAATCAAAATTTTATAATATATATAAATATGCATTGCATGCTAGCTCTTCACAACTTAACATTTAGCAAAGAAAGAAAAACCCTTGGTGTTCTGTCTTTGCATGTACTGCGAAACAGTGAGTATAATAATCCACGTGTTTTTGTTTTCAATTTTTGGAACATTGGCATCTCCGGTCATGTCCCGAACAATCCACGGCACCGCCATTGTCAACAAACACAAGCATTAATGGATGGTTGCTTATGGTCGGAAATATGAGAGCAAATCGGAGAAGGAGAAGGTGAAGTTGGAATATATTGAGAGCTTCAACAATGGCGGACTGAATGAATTCGCCGACATGACACATGATGAATTCATTGCAGCTCACTGATGCAAAACGACCCCGAAATGTCCAAATAAACCCCGAAATGTTGAAATCAACATCTTTTTTGTATGAGAACCTCTCAGATATTCCGACAAGCTTAAATTGGAATGACCAAGATGCTGTCACTCCTGTTAAGAATCAGGGTAATTATGCCACCAGTCGATAATTTCCTTAGGCTTCATAGTTTAAACTCCAAAGTTCACCTTATGTTTAATTTAGTCCATATATCCACTAATATTTAAAATATAAAAAAAATAAAAGGAAAAGAAGAATTGAGTAACGAGCTTATAAATGAGTCGATCAACGAGCTTATAGATGAGCCAATAAACGAGCTGTAAATGAGTCAATAAGCAAATTTGTTCGTGAACGTAAATGAATCGAACTAACTTATGTTCGTGCTTGTTTATTTATTAAATAAACATAAAAAAATTGTTCGTACTCATTTATTTAGCTTAATAAACTAACGTTATACGAATAGTTCACAATCAAAGCATTGAACACTATGTTTATTTACACCCCTATGCTTTCCTATATAATATTGCAGGCTGTTGTTTGGCATTTTCAACCGTGGCAGCCGTGGAAGGGATAATGAAAATCAAAACCGGTAAACTAATCTAATTATCGGAGCAACAACTGGTGGATTGCAGCAGCACAAATGGAGGGAACCAGGAGGATATATGACGAGCAGGGTTTCAAATCACGGTCTGAAAACGTGATATTGCCCATGAAATAGCGTTTCGTCGCCGTCCGAGTTACCTGCTACACCCGTGACGGCCACAATAACAGTAAACTTGAAATGACCGAAAATTTGATTGCAACCGCGATTTGAAACCCTGATGACGAGTGCTTCTGAATACATTAACCGATAACCACAGTAGAAAGCTACCCATATGAGGCAAAGCAGGGAGCTTGCTACATGGAGAAACAAATAAACAAAGTGGCCACCATCAGTGGCTATCAGTGCCCGAAAACGACGAAGAAGCGTTGCTTATGGTCAGAATCATGCGTTGGCCATTGTTGGATATGAAGAAGGTTTGGACTATTGGTTTAGGGTTTAGGATTTATGAAAAAACAAAAGGGGTGCCAATACGCCATATGCCTTATGTGGTATCGCCATGCACGCTTCCCACCCACTTCCATAACTTCGTAAATTAGGGACGTAAATGAATCGGGCTTCGATGAATAATAATATATTCGAGTTTGTTTATTTTTTTAAGGTGTTTATATTTGTTTGTTTAATATTATGGTATATGTATTGGTGGTGGGTCTGTTGTTGCATTTAGTTCCTTCTTGTCTGTTGTTGTATGTGGTCTGTCTGAAGTTTGAACTATCACTTTTGTATTCCGGCGTTGCTTTTGTATCAACAGTCTCATATATAATTACGGTAATTTTAATCCTTATTTTTTTATTTATAAAATTAATTGATTGATGATAAATAAATCTACTGTTAAAAATAATTTTATTTAATATGGATTATTATTTTTAGTCAAAAACTAAATAAGAAATATAATCATATACGGATTGAAAATGCGATAAGATTGTACTGTGCGATAATTAAAAGTTGTATGGATTTATGGTGCTTTCACTTTGCTTGACTGATCCTATTATCGTTAATCTAATTCTCTAATTAGAAGTTTTTCTTCATCCTACATGGCTTAAAATTTCTATTTATAATACAATATATATTAAAATTGTACTCAAATGACCATCGCGGGGATAGCTCAGATGGGAGAGCGTCAGACTGAAGATCTGAAGGTCGCGTGTTCGATCCACGCTCACCGCATTTACTCATTTTTTTTTCTTTTCTTTTCAGATCCAGAAGCAAATAGCTCAAAACCTCCGCCCTCGAAATTGCTTTCTGTTTTCACTCTACTTTTTAATCAAATATCCCTTAAAACCTGGACCGTCCAAATGGAAAAACTTTAATGCTTGAAATCTGAGCCGTTTAAATGAAAAAAACCTTAATAAGATGCGCAAACTTATTTATCAACCAATATAAGCAGAAATTCAAAGGAAAGAAAATTTTGGCATTAACCCCCTCAAATTCAACTTAATTATTTTTAATAAAATCTTTTGGCGTCTTCTAGGACTCATTTGTTACTTACATCTTTTAGGAGCTTTAGATTCATCCTTCATTTGTTCCAACTGACTCTGAACATCCTTTATTTCTTGTTGTGTGGTAGTCGGATTTATATTATCTGTCATTGATTGATTTTTTTCACAACTTAATGGATCCATGAACTTAAACTATGATACCAATTTATCAGGAACTAATGATGAAATCAGGTACATTTCTAATATTTCATTTCTATAGTACTGTCTAATAGCTAAAGACTACTAAAGAACCTAATACTGTATTTATACTGTATTTATGTTTACATGACTGATATAGAAAAAATATACGAAATACAACACTTATTTACCAAGAATCGATATTACATGGGGGAAAAATTTTAAAGCATGAAATCATTCAGGTTTGTTCTCTTAAGGGTTTTCGGGAAGCATTTTTGATGAAGAATGCTGTTGAGTCTCATCTGGTATAGATATTGAAGAATCAATCCATGGTCCATCCATGGATGGGCTTCCTGGGACCTGACTGTCATGTGAACATGCTGATACATTAGTTTGGCTGTCGTGAGAAAGCACCTCGAAGGCTCTGAACCTCGCATCCCGATCCCCATCCCTTCGCTTGATCAATGGAGCCTGGACTGGAATCTTTCCTTCCATCATGCTTACAACTGATGACATTGATGGTCTTAGAGTGGGAGAGGGATTGGTGCATAGAAGAGCCAGGTTGAGCATCCGTGAAGCCTCTTTGTTTGAGTACTTTGAACCGAGGCTCGGATCAACAAGCTCCAAAAGGTTTCCTTGCTCTTGCTGGACATAGGCCTGCGTAGCATGTAAGATTCATGAAAAAGGTTCATTCCCTTGAGATCACAAAACAAGGAAATAACTCGAAAACGAAACCGAAGGTTACCCAATCAAGGAGATAAACAAACTCCTCCTTTGGCCTGTAATTTGTATTGCTCTTCCCACTGACGATCTCCAACAGAACAACACCAAAGCTAT